AGATGGCTCAGAGTATTAAGAATACTGACTGCTCTTCCCGAGGTCCTGAGTTCAATTCCCAGCAACCACATGGTGGCTCACAACCATCTACAATTCAATATGGTGCCCTCTTCTGGCATGTAGACAGAACACTATATATGTAATAAATAAATCTAAAAAAAAAAAAAAGAAAATCTCAATTTGTGAGCCTCCTGAAGTTCACAGACAGTGGAAGTTACAACTTTACAGTCAAGTTCCCCAAAGGCTGGTGTGTGAACCCTTGGTGCCAGCTGGCTGTAAAACATTTAGGAGGTAAGTCCTAGCCCTGGGAGGGGGAATGCTGAGAACAACAGCCCCACCCAAGCTTTCTGCTTCCAGGCTCCCTCTGCCATGGACCATCCCATTTCCAACCACCATGTCTTCCCTGTCATGCTGGACCATACCTTCTAAACTATGAGCCAAAATGAACCTGCCTTCTCTCAAGTTGTGTCTGTTAGGTGTTACGTTGTCACATTAAGAGAGAAGTAACTCCGACAGCCTCCAAAACAATACAGAGAAACCTTGTCTGGTAGAGAGAAGGAAAGGATATGCAATGTTGGAATGATGCAGGCTCTCAACACATAACAGCAATGCGAGTTGACAGGCGCTGTCCTGGATGTGTGGGAACATTTGTGGGAGATCTTGAGACTAGCTAAGAGGAGGGTGCGGACGCTTTCCTGGATACTGTTTTGTTTCAAGGAAGGTAAGTGCTCAGTCATAGTGAATGAAAGGGCGTGACCTGTGAACATCATCATCTACCCCTAATGGGCCTGTCCAAGTGGAGGGAGGGGCAGGAGTTCAGAGGACAGGAGAGCCGGTTTCATCAGGCCCCGGATGTGTTCAGGGACTGGTCGCTAAGTTTGGATTTTACTGTGGGGATCTTGGCCGGTATTTAGCAGAAGACTGTCTAGAAAGGCAAGGGTAGAAGTCTAAAGATGCACCAACTTCTGAGTTTTCCGATGCAATGTTAGTCATTCTGGGGCTGACGACTCTCGTCAAAGCAAATGGACTTAGGAAACATGAAGGACGTTCGAGTGAGAGAGAAGGGGGTGACATGAGGTGATAGCAGACAGCGGGCAATGAACTGGGGTGTGGAGTGGTTTGAGTCTAAAATGACGTAATGTGCAATATATTGGTCAATCGCTCTACTTGAGCTCACTTCGAAACCGACTCTTCCAGACCAAACATACTTGTCTCAAAGTGTCCTTCAACGCCTCATCTGGGCACGGACTGGGTCCTTAACTCTGTAACAGGACGGGCAAAACAGCCCAAGAGTCAAAGTACTGTGTCCTAGAGAACACCTAGAAGGTAAACCACTTCAAGCAGAGGTTACTACTGCTTGTCCCAAGATTTAAAGACATCTGCAGTTGATCGAGAAGCTAGAAGTTCAGCCTCGGGAGGCTCAGTTGGAGAGAAAGCTTGATTGGCAACTCCAGATGCTCAGCTCAACCTCCCTTGTCAGTTTCTGCTGGATTTTTTTTTTTTTTTTTTTTTTTTTTTTTTGGTTTTTACGAGACAGGGTTTCTCTGTATTGTTTTGGAGGCTGTCGGTCCAGCCCGGCCTCGAACTCACAGAGATCTGCCTGCCTCTGCCTCCTGAGTGCTGGGATTAAATCTGCTGGATGTTTTAAGTACCTGATGTGATACTGTCTGTCTGTCTAGCTGCTATTTTTGTCCCCTCCCCCACGCCTTTGGCTGGTTATATACTTAATAAATTCACTCATCCAAAATCAAAAGTCCGTATGGTTACTGCATCTCGTTCTCCAGATCATACAGAACAAATGTCTCCCATGTGTCCTCAGCTAGTGGCACTATTTCCAAGGGCTGCTGAACATCTAAGACTAAGAGGTGGAGCCTTGTTGAAGGAAGGGGATTACTGAGAGAGCCCCACCCCACTTCCTACCTATTGTCTCCATCCTGCTCCTGAAAGATGTCAGGTACCAAGGTGTTGGCTATACACTCTAGCCATCAGGGAGTGGTGTGCATTTCCCTACCTGATCCACCTTTAAGCCTCGGGCCAAAACAAGTCCTTCCTCTTTTAAATGGCTTCTTTTCAGCCAGGTGGTGGCGGTGGCTGCCACACACATCTTTTTTGTTTTTGTTTTTGTTTTTTTTGGATTTTCGAGACAGGGTTTCTCTGTGGCTTTGGAGGCTGTCCTGGAACTCACTCTGTAGACCAGGCTGGTCTCGAACTCACAGAGATCTGCCTGTCTCTGCCTCCCGAGTGCTGGGATTAAAGGCGTGAGCCACCAACGCCCGGCTTGCCACACACATCTTTAATCCCAGCACTTGGGAGGCAGAGGCAGGTGGATCTCTGTGAGTTTGAGGCCAGCCTGGTCTACAGAGCAAGTTCCAGGATGGACTCCAAAGCTACAGAGAAAACCTGTCTGAAAAAAAAAAAAAAAGGAAAGCAAGAAAGAAAAAAGATGATACTATTTTATTGCCATCTTAGAAAGGAAGAAAGAAAAAAGATGATACTATTTTATTGCCATCTTAGAAAGGAAGGAAGAAAGAAAAAAGATGATTCTACTTTATTGCCATCTTAGAAAGGAAGGAAGAAAGAAAAAAGATGATTCCATTTTATTGCCATCTTAGAAAGGAAGGAAGAGGGGCTGGAGAGATGGCTCAGAGGTTAAGAGCACTGACTGCTCTTCCAGAGGTCTTGAGTTCAATTCCCAGCAACCACATGGTGGCTCACAACCATCCATAATGAGATCTGGTGCCCTCTTCTGGCGTGCAGACATACATGGAGGCAGGATGTTGTATTCATAATAGATAAAATAAATCTTTAAAAAAAAAAAGATGCAACAATGTGTTGCATTCTTAAAAAAAAAGAAAGGAAGAAAGAAAGAAAAAAGATGATTCTACTTTATTGCCATCTTGATTCAATCCCTAGGAAGGAGAGAGCTGACTCTGGCAATCGTCCTCAATTGCGGAATTGCCACACGAACGCCATGGCGTGAGCGTGCCTGTCCTCTCAAATACACACAGATTAATTAAAAAACTTAGAGAACAGCCGGGCGTTGGTGGTGTGCACCTTTAATCCCAGCACTGGGGAGGCAGTGACAGGCGGATCTCTGTGAGTTCGAGGCCGGGCTGGACCGACAGCCTCGAAAACAATACAGAGAAACCCTGTCTCATAAAAACAAACAAAATAATAATAAAATAAAAAACTTAGAGAACAAAAAAGGACCGCTAATACAGGACCTATTTTGATTTTGCAAACAAGTAAGCACACACACGTCTCTCACCTTCTAACTTTTCCCTTATCCTAGGGTCCCCTGCATTTCTCTTTGCCTGCCTTTCCCTTCTGTGATGTATGTTACTTGGGTGTTTGCCCTCAGCCCTCTAGCCAAAGTGCAAGGTACTAAACCAACACCCCCAGCACTTTCCAATCACTTGGTTTTTAACTGATATGTAATAATTAGACGTATTTCCGGGATGGGTAGTGTGTGGAACACGTACACACCATGTAACGGCTAGCTTGGGGGTAAATGGCACAGCCATTAAAGCAGACTTTCTTTACTTTGGTTTTTCTTGGGAGGTGGGGGGTGGTGGTGAGACAGGGTTTCTCTGTATTGTTTTGGAGACTGTCCTGGAACTCACTCTGTAGACCAGGCTGGCCTCGAACTCACAGAGATCCGCCTGACTCTGCCTCCCGAGTGCTGGGATTAAAGGTGTAGTTGACTCCAACTACTTCTCAGAAACCCTCACTTACTATCTGGGGATATCTCAAGTGGCACGAGCCCCCAAAAGAAACATCGTCCAGCTGTGTGATCCTGAGCACGGTAGTTAACTGACCTAGGCCTCGCTCTCAGTGGTAAAACGAGTGCCCCGCTGATAAGCACTGACACAGAACCTTGGCGCGGAGATTAAATAACAGACTTGCAAGTCTTGTAGACCCTGGCACACGGAAAGTGACCTGCAATTGTTAATCATTACTCCCTCGAAGTCATTCTCTTCTGTAGCTACCAAGTTGACTCAAGCCCACAGCTCACGCATGCCCTTCAAGCAGGCCTGGGCGTCCTCCTAGACATCATCCCTCCTGAACGCCATGCTGTCCCCGCCCCACTTCCAAAGTATGTCCCCAGTGCCTGAAGCCAAGCTGTCCCGGTGCCCATTGCCTTTACTCCCTTCTGAGTTAGCGCATACTGTGCACGCTAAGAACCTCCTCTTGAAAGACCCTCTCAGGAACAAAATCCTAACTGTTAGGACCGGGTCTGGGTTGCTTTCCCTAAGTTCCAGCAGGTTGTCCTCCAGGGAGAGGCGACAGTGCGCATGGCCCAGAGGGTCCCTTCTCATTCTCCTTTTATCTCGCTCCTCATTTTCTCCGGTAAGTCTTCCCGAACTTCTAGTCCGGCCCTCTTGCCTTTACAATCGTGTGCTCATGTGCCTGCCCTCTCCACTAAAGTGAGGTTTCTGCAGCAGCAGCAGCAAAAAAAAAAAAAAAAACACCCCAAAACCCAAAAAACTTTCACGTTTCACACACCCGACAAACAACGGTAGGGGCGTGCGGCTGGCAGTGAGAACTGGAAGAAAGTGAGATCGAAACAACCGGGTCTGGGGAAATTAGCGTCAAGGGTTCGGGAGGCTGCCAGGCTCAGGGCTTCGGGGCGCACGGCCGTACCCCGTGCATGCAGCGGGGCGGGCGCAGGGTGAGGTCGCAGCAGGAAGCTTAGGAGACTGCACGCGCTCGCCCTCCGCGCTCTGTCCGTCGTAGCAGCGGGGCAAAGTCCCGCCTGGGCACGACGGCTCCCCAACGCACCCTGGGGACCCTCGTCCCGCTCGTGAGCCCTGGAGACCCGCACTCATCCGCCGCCGCCGCCGCCGCCAGCGGCGGGAAAGCGCGCGGCGCGGCGCCGTCACGCGCTCGTTGCCCGGCGCGCGGCGTGGGCGGGGCGTGGGCGGGGCCCAGCGCGAGCGGGACGGGGCGGGGCCGTGCGCAGGAAGCGCTCGGAGGCCCGGAGCTGTCCCAGGGTGCCCCGCGCGGCGTGCACTCGGGTCGCTGCCGCCATCCTGCTGGCGAGAGAGAGGCGAGAGACAGAGAGGCCCGCCCGCTAGCCCGGGCCGGTGTGGGCCAGTGCGTGAGGGCGCGGGGGGCCGTGTCAGCGCGACGCAGAGCGCAGCCGCCGCCGCCGCCAAACGGACATGTTGGAGCCCCGCGCTGCCGCCGCCTCCCTGGCCTCCTCCGGCGCACGGGACTGAGCCGGGGCCCGCCGCCCGCCCTCTGACTGCGCTCGGCCGGCCCGGCCTCGCCGCCTCGGCCGCAGCCCCTTCCTGCTCGGCCTCGCTCTCCGCCGCTCGTCGCCCGCCGCCGTCGTCCTCCTCTCCCCCTCCACGCCCCAGGCCCTGCCGGCTCCCGGCCCTGCTCCGCCGCGGCGCGAGGTCTATGTGACCGGCGGGCCCGGAGCAGCCGCCGCCGCCGCAACGCGAACATGGACGCCGTCAACGCCTTCAACCAGGAGGTGAGGGGTGCTCGGGGCAGGGCTGCTGCGGGCCAGCCGGGCCGCCTCTCCCGCTGCCCGAGGGCTTTCCGAGCCCCCGAGTCGGGGCGGGGACGCTTCCTGCTCAGGGTTCCGGGGCGGCGGGCCTGAAGCCGAGGAGAGGTCGCGGCCGCCGCCGCCGGGGGCTGACCCCGCGCCCCTCCCCCGCCGTGCCCCCTTCGCCCCCTTCCGGCCTGCGCCGGCTCCGGCTCCTCCAACGTGGCCCTTGTGCTCCCGGCCCGGCCCTCGGCTTGGCGGGGCCGAGATCCCGCCAGGGGCTGCAGCGGAGCGCGGGCCGGCGGGCCGGGCGGGCGGGCGGGCGGGCCGGCGGGCGGACCTGGGGGCGGGAGTTCCCGCGGGTCGGGGGCCCGGCCCGGCGCGGCCGCCGCCTGGGCTCTCCTGTTGCTCAGGCCGCGGCGCGTCGGCCGCTGGCTGGACTCTGATCCCCGCTGGCGGGGAGAGTTCGAGAGGGCGCCTACCCTCCTCCTGCCTCCCGGATTGGCATGCTCACGAGTAAACACAGGGAAGAGGTAGTTCCTTAGCCTTCCGAGTCCGGAGCGTCCCCTTTGCTTAACAACGTGACACCTTCAAAGTTGAATGGGAGAGCGGAGTGTTTGCCCCGCCTTAGTCCGCTAGAAAGGCGGCGTGAGCCTCCGCTTGGCTCGCCCTCACGCTCTCCTCCCGCAGTGCTTAGTCCTCAGCTCCGCTTCTTCAGGAACGTTTATTTACCCGTGAAAACCTCCCCAAACCGGGAACAAAGCTGCCTGCCGCCTTAAAGCTCTCTAGTTGTATCTCTGATCGTTCCAGGTGCTGCTTTTGGAGCGTAAAGTCCATGCCATCTTATTTATCTGAATGGATTTGGGAGGAGGAGGAGGAGGAGGAGGAGACGACCATTGATGATTTAAAACGCAGTTACAGACTGGAAACTATTGTGGATTGAGTTGGATTATGTTTCCCGTTTCAAATACTAAAGATAAACCAGCACCGAAGAAATCTGATGTCATAGTTTGACGTGTGTTGATGTGGTGTCAGAACTTGCTCCATCGCACCATGAGATTTTTGTGGCTCAACCTGCAGTAGGATTAGGGTGTCGTCCCCCCCCTTTCGATTTGTAGTGCCATAGCAGGGGACCCTCCAGTTAATCCTGCAGTGGAGAATATTAATTGCTGTGCAGATTACCCACCCCTCTCTACGTTCAGGGTTAGGTACAGGTCTTCACAGACTGCAGCCATTGCACTTGGTGATAGAAAGGGACGTGAAAGGGTTCATTAGGGACAGTTCGAAAAATAGTATTCCCTCATTTGGGTCCCCAGAAAACTGGTAGCAACGCTCCAGATACCCCAGAGGTCAATGCTTGCTTTGTAGGATCGCCTGGGATGCTTGCCGCTGGGAGGGCAGTCCTTCAGTTCTTCTCCCTAACCCTTCCCCCACCATAGCAGGTGCCGGGCAGACAGTTCTTGAATAGATGAGGGCTCACACAAATGCCACAGTCGTTAAGACGTCAGGCACACTTCTCAAGATGAAAACTAACTTGTGTGTTTCTATAAACAAGGGGGCTTTTTTTAGTGTACTTTTAAAGGCCAGAAATATTCAATCCTGATTTAAGGTATTGTGGAAGGTGATATCGAGTACATCGTTTTTTGTTTTTTTGTTTTTTGTTTTTTTTTTGGTTTTTCGAGGCAGGGTTTCTCTGTGGCTTTAGAGGCTGTCCTGGAACTAGCTCTTGTAGACCAGGCTGGTCTCAAACTCACAAAGATCCGCCTGCCTCTGCCTCCCGAGTGCTGGGATTAAAGGCGTGCGCCACCGACGCCCGGCTGTCGAGTACATCGTTAATGTGGCCATTATTAACTCCTAACTAACTCCATTGGTTAGGCTTTGTAGAATACCAAGGGGGTGGTCAACAGATTAAGACTAGAGGCCACCAAACCTTGTAGGATAGTGGAATTTGAGGGTTAGGGTTAAATGTATAAGGAAATACAGCCTGAAATTGCAGTCAGTAATTGCTTAGGGATGCTTGACTCTTTGAGAAGGGAAATGGTATTTTGACCTTTTAAAAGGCATAGTGAACATTTCCTCATGTTCATTTCCTTTTGTTCCTCATCTTTATGAACTTGGAGTTAAACTTGCTACTCGTACGTTTCCATTGCCAACGCTTTCTGTTAAATTGCAAAGTAAAACCCATGTTCTTGTGCCTTGATTTGTAGTGCTTAGTTTCTACTATTTCTCCCTATTCAGAACACATTGCTGATTAGGTCCTTGTAACATTGGATCTCCCAAATCTAATGTTCAGTTGTTCAGCTGTGTCCTTAACTGGGGAAGAGCATCTCTGTCACTTAGGGGCCTACCAGATAGAATTTTAACCAATGAAAAGGGTTTTTCCTTTGGGCTCTTGTGTGTTCTGAGGTGCCCATGAGGTGTCGGTGAACACTTAGAAGGAACGGTATCTGTGTTAGGATTTCAGAGAAGGTCAGAGACAGTTTGAAGGACTAAGAAGTAAGTAGTGGTTTGACTCTGGAGCTGCTGGAAAGTAAAGATGATTAATTTGGAGAGTGGTGTTCATGTTTCATGTATTTGAATCCTCACTTTTAGTCTGTGGGGAAACATTGATGGTTTTAAGTAGTACAGTAGCAAGGTTGTGTTCCACTTGTGGTGGGGTAGTTGTGTAGGTCACAGGAGGCGTGGAAGAATGTGGGCCAAAGGAATTCGTGGACCTTAGTGTCTGGTAGTTGTATAAGCCCCTTTGTCAACCGGGCAGTGCTGGCGCACGCCTTTAATGCCAGCACTAGGGAGACAGAGGCAGGTAGATCTATGTGAATTAAAGACCAACCTGGTCTACCCAGGACAGGCTCCAAAGCTACACCCTGACTTGAAAACAGACAAAAAACCCTTTTGTCACTGTATTCTATATGCTGAGATAGTGATGACAAGTCAGTCTTCAAAAGTATGTTTAGTGGAAAAGAATTGTATTTGGTTTTGAAATAGGTTAAGTTGCTGTTGTGTAGAATAGTCATGTGGATATTTTTGGCAAGCAATTGGGCATGTAGTTTTTAGAGTCAGAAGTAGCCAAAACAGGCAGAGTCACTCATGAGTGCTGGTAAAAATTCTAGGGTGCAGGGAAGAGAAAGAAAATACCTACTATAGCATATTTGGCTTCTCAGGCACTTTATATATGTCTAGTTTAACAGATACATATTCCTACAGCCTTGCATAGGCATCCAGTTACATAGAGAGGCTGATTTTTTTCCATCCATCCATCCATCCATCCATCCATCCATCCATCCATCCATCCAAGACAGGGTTTATCTGTGTAACAGCTCTGGCTGTCCTGGAACTTGCTTTGTAGACCAGGCTGGCCTTGGAGGGGCTGATTTTTTTTTTTAAGTTAAATAATAATTTACCCAAGGGCACATTTCTAAACTAATGGCAGAGTCAGAATTTGAATGTAGATCTCTCTGCTTAGTTGATGTGCTTTGTAGAATACCAAGGGAATGGTCAACAGATTAAAGATTTTGGGGTAATGGAATTTGAAGTTTAGGGTTGAATGGATAAGGACATAAGTCAAATGTAATCTTTGGTTTGGTTTTGAATGATTAGAGGAAGCGGCTGCTTTATGGGTGATGGGAAGGAGAGGCTAGCAGTGTACTAGACGTGGTAGGCTATGTGTTTATGCATGCTACACTATAAGATTTTAGTCTGGTGAAAGGTGGGCGGGCACTGTCAGATGAGACTGGGAACTTGGGTAGTATGTTGTAGACCCTAGTCTCTGTTAGACAAAAGGCAAGGCTTCAGGTTGGGAGATACTGGTTGGTTAGGATGCTCTCCCAGAGGACTCCTGTTGGAGCCAGGTTCAGGGGGTCTGATGTGCTTCTCTGGTGCACAGACCAACAGCATCAGTATATGTGAAGTAAGCTTTAAAGGGAGAGGATTGAGCATATTCAGGGAGGGATATGAAAAGGTGAGTTTAAAGCTGCAAGAGAACCAAGTTGGGAAATAAAAGGAAAAGGACAGACTGGGAATGATGTCAAGGAAGTTGTCTTGATATAGACGGTAAAGTGGAAAGTGAGTTACTAAAGACACTCATTAATTTGGTATTTGGGTGCTTTATTCTCTCGAAGACGCACTGCTAAATAAGTCTTAAAAAAGATGGAATGAGGCAGGTCTGTTATGGCCAGGACTTTGTGCTCTGCTATGTGGTTTTCCTCAATGTGAAAAGTTTAAAACTTTAATGAAGTTTGTGAAATGAATAAAAATTACAGAAATTTTTAATCAGGAGGTGGTGGCTCACACCTTTAGTCCCAGCACTAGGAAGGTAGAAATTTATAGAATTTTTTAATCCATTAATTATTGTCTTACGCATTAAAGGAACATCATAGTCTGCTGTCCCCATCTATCTATTATTTTAAGATCTTTGAGATACAAAAATGATGTAAAAAAACATTTTGTTTTTGTTTTTCCAGACAGGGTTTCTCTGTGGCTTTGGAGGCTGTCCTGGAACTCGTTCTTGTAAGACCAGGCTGGTCTCGAACTCACAGAGATCCGCCTGCCTCTGCCTCCCGAGTGCTGGGATTAAAGGCGTGCGCCACCAACGCCCGGCAAAACCATTTTTTTTAATGAAAATAAGTTATTATTTAATTTTAAAAGTCCCTTTTTGTGGGGCTGGAGAGATGGCTCACGGGTTAAGAGCACTGACTGCTCTTCCAGAGGTCCTGAGTTCAATTCCCAGCAACCACATGATGGCTCACAGCCATCTATAGTGAGATCTGGTGCCCTCTTCTAACATGCAGGCAGAACAGTGTGTACATAATAAATAAATCTTTTAAAAAAGGTCCCTTTTTGTCCTCACTCAAGCTATTACTTCCAGCAGAGACAATCAAATGATGAAATCTGAGACCTGTGAACAATAAAGATGGAGTCTGTGTATATATGTTGCTTATTGTGCATATTCTTAAACATGCTCACAGAGTCCATTTTTGCTGATAACT